GTTTGAGGTGAGTCTTTCCATGATGGGGCAATGAGGCTTTGGAAAAAGCCCCCTGCTGCAGGGGTTTTCCTTCTCCTGTGTGCGCTGGCTCATCCTGAAGTCACAGAATTCTTACCTTCCTCTTCCCCATTTTCTGAAGCCCATACATATCCTGTTCCTGTGGGAAAAGGAGAGGGGCAGCTCCTGCAAGCTCCAGAATCCAGCTCTTTATCACTCTGCTCTGCCGCCCCTGAGCGCTTGCTCGCCTCCTGCCTCTCAGGGGCTAGAGCTTCAAGGCCTGTCACCATGGCATGTGCCCATATCCCGGGAGCCCACAGTCCAGTGGGTGGAGGACAGACAAACTGACAGTCGCAGTGCAACACGGCATGCATCCTAACAGGGAGCGGCCCCGGGCCCTGGCGGCGGGGGGGTTGGAGACTGGGACAGATGAGGAAAGGCTGCCCAGAGCTGGTGGCAGGGAGTCTAGAATTAGACACTGAGTTGGTGAGAAGCAGGGATAGGACAGATGAACAGACAGATGGAACAGCATGTGCAAAGACATGAGAAAAGGAGGTGCGTTCAAGCTCTTATGAGCGGATGTTGGCGTGGCGGACTATATTCTTGTTTACATTTCCACACTCTGATGAACTCAGGCAGGGCAATGGGACTTCCTTGGCCACTGAAATCTGAGCAGAAGTGACACCCACTCATTCCCAGATAGAAATGCATGGTTCAAGAGCCAGTGTCCTCTTGCTCTACCCCTGCAATTGTGGAACCCTGTCAACACAGAGCTTCTCCCAGCCTGGATCCCTGAGTGACTACAATGAATAGAGCCCCCTGCTGGTCTGAATGGCCACGTACCATGAGCAAGAAATGAACCCGATGGCTAATTTGTTACTGCAGCGCAACCTAGCCTGTTCCTCACTGGTACTACTAACCTGGCTCCAGAGGGCTCATATTGGGGCCGGGGCGGGGGGGGTGTCAGGAGACGAGCCTGCATATGTATGCGGCTAGCTAGACACCCTATTATTCTTTCTCCAGATCTTAGATAGCAGCACAGGCTGTATGTGAGTGAATTAGAATCCTAGCTTTGTCATTTACTAGTTCTGAGAGTTTGGGAAGTGCCATTAAATCCTTTGAGCCTAAGTTTATCCATCTATAAACTGAGAATAATGAAAATAATATTACCTACTTCACAGGGCTGCTGGGTTTCCTGAGTAAATCCGTGCTGGATCTTCCCTCTCCCCACTTATGACCCTTTCACAGCCTGGTCCCAGTCACAAGGGTACATATTTAAAATGCAAATTCCTCACCCTCACCCTAGACCTGCTGAGTCTGAATCTCTGCAGGTGAGGCCCAGAAACCTGTGCTTTCAGTAAGCCCTCCACGTAGTGTTTTTTGCATGTTAGAGTTTAGGAACCACTGCCCTTAAAGTTTTGATAGACAGTCAAAACCTCTGCCCTGAGGAGGGATCATTGCTTGGAGGCTGGCTTGGTCTGAAACCAAGAATCTTCAGCCTGATGCTGATCAGGTGGCCACAGTGCCTTGCACAAAAGCCAGAGGCTTAGAAGCTCTGTATTACTTAGAGAGCAGGTAACCTCACTTGGAGCCCGCTCAGTGTGTACGACTCCAGCATTAACCAGCCCTCTGCAGCCAGCCTCGACCTGTGCTGAGCTTTTTAGGAGGTGTTCTTCTCCAAGGGAGACCCTTCAGCAATGTACCTCTCCCCACCCCTGCCCACCCCAGCCTGGCCTAGGGATCCTGGGCATGTGGTACCGGTCCCTTTTCCTTCAGGACAAGGCTGATTCTTAAGAGAATCGGGTAAGATTGAGACCAGGAAGAGGGCTGCAAAACTAGGGCTTCTGAGTGCATAGAGCTGCCCAAAGGCTGCTGAGGACAGAGACGCTTGAAGCTACCTGTAGTAGTGCCCAGACCAGGCCCAGCTGCCCTCCTTGCCAGCAGCTTCCTCCCAACACATACCACCGTCATATGACTCTCTTCCTAAACATTGCTCCAAATCACACATATGCTCAAGAGCACACCATGGCTCCCTATGGCTTCCTGCCCATGGAATCAGGTGTTAACTTCTTGCTCTGGCTTCAGACCCTTCCAAGTCATATGGTATCGTGGCTTTCCAGTCCTTTCTCCCACTACTTTCCCAACCTACTAAGTCCTCTCTTCCCTCCCTTGCCACTGTAACCCACCTGGGAGGGGAGTTCAGACCAACCACCCGTAGCAGATGCTGGCGCCCCACCCAGACCTCCTTTCCTCGGCTGGCGCATCCATTCCCTAACACCAGGTGCAAAAGACTGGCCCTCTTGCCTCAAGGAAGGTCAGACCTGCATACTCTCCATGCTCTGAAGCTCTCCACGGCACCAGGCTGAGGTTACACATCAGTTGAACCTCATCTTTGTGTGACCTCCTCCCTTCTCCCATCCTGTTCTTCTCACTTCCTCACAGACTTTGTCTCCACACAGAACCCCCTCATAAATCACTTGCACAAGAATTTATGTCTTGGGCTTTGCTTCCAGGAAGGCTGAGCTACGACTCCCATGTCATTTGTGAAGTTACCTGGAGGCAATGGTAGCTTCTGACTATACCTCCAGGCAGCCTATACCAGAGGTCATGGAACAGAAGGGCTCATGGGCCAAATGAAGACGCCTGAATCTCGGCATTTATTTAATCAAGTTAGAACACACACTGGAAAGAAGCAAGGCAAAGAGACAGGACCGGTGAACACCCGTAGGACAAGTGCCAGCAGGTAGAAGGATCACGCTAGCTGAACCCTGGGTCACACAACATTCTACCTCTTGTTCTCTCTCTGCCACAGCAGCTCTCTCTCCTCTGGTGTGGCTGCAGAGGGCAGCGCTGGGGGCAAGCCAAGGTGACCGGCTGGAGGGGGCGCCTGAAGTTAACACACATACCGCCTCTATTGGGAAGACTCGGGGCCAAGTACACCTGTTCACACTGCAGCACCCCAGTGAATCTCCTGAGCGGCTGCAGGTTTTATCTGTGTTTCTTGGGGTGTCACCACTGAGTGGCCAACATAGGAGTGACGTTGCTTCAATCTAGAGAAGACATGACCCACGCCTTATAAATATTTAAGGTTTACTTGGTCTTCATACTCCTTGTCTATAAGTAATGTTCTCATTTGATCTATATTCAACCCATATATGTTCTCTTTATTCTACCGTGTCTAAAAAATCTCATAAGCTACTTGCTTCTATACTTAATTTATCTCATTTTCTGGAGCAAAATCGAATATTCATAAATAACACGGCAAACAAGACAGTTCCCTTTTCCTGAGTTACCATCTCCTACCCACAGGTCTCCAGAGCTTTGTGTCAACCCGAACCTTCAGTAACACGACTAGAACTCGACTCAAGTTCTGAGAACTGGTCTGTCTGGTTCTAAATCCACTGTACTGGGTAACGTGTTGTTTGATAACATGGCTTATCTCCCCTGCACATGGTAGGGACCTGACTTCTCTCTCTCTCTCTCTCTCTCTCTCTCTCTCTCTCTCACACACACACACACCATGCTCACCCGTGGTGGGTCCTTGAATGATGCTGTGGGGTTCAGCTGAATCCATCAGCATTTTAGAGAAAGCACAGCCAGTTTGCTTTCCTGCATCACCATCACTTGGCCTAAAAAGCAAGAGGACAGAAACAAGCTTCCCCCTCCAGCAAAGCTATGAGCAGGGTATGTGCTAAATCCTGGTTTTCATTTGCCAGATTCAGCCTGTGAATACCAGTGTCCTGATAGCTCTCCAGATTCAAGAAAGCAAACTCCTGCCCCCATGCGACTATAAAACCAGGAGCCTCCATCCCTTTCCAACTGGTCCACCCATCACAGCACTAAAAACTGAGTTTTTATATGTGAAAAGTGCTTGCCAGATTCCCAGAACAGCTGTGACAGGAAACTGAATAACAAGGTAAAAGTGTAACCCTGTACTACACCCTTAATATTGGACGGGAGAGGGTGGTACAGTCCACTAAGAAAGAAAAATCTTACTGTTGGCCAGTCAAGCTCATACACAGAGCTCCACTTGAGGTTCAAGTCACCAATTCCAACCCAGAATTGGAGACGAGGATTTGAGAAGGATTCCCCTGCTCCACAGAACAACCCTTCAGCTCCACAAAACATGTGTGGTCTTCATTCTAGCCACTCTGCACTGCCCCGTATGGTCACCCCTCCCCAGTTAGTAAGAAAACCTCTTTACACACTTTCTCTTCTTTTCTCTATCACTTAGGATGCTTTTGGATGAGGATGAGGGTGAGGATAACAGCTAACATTTATTGAGTAGCTTGCATTCCTGAGAAGAAACTCAGAGACCAGCATGCATGACGTGCTGTTGGGATTAACATCCACAGAAAGGGAGGAAAAAGAAGCAGAATTGGGCAGAGGGAGAAATTGAGCTGAGACAGAAGCCCAACAAAGACGTCCACCAACCCCAGGGAGAGTTCCAGAACCAGTGTGACCTTTCAGAGTGGTCCTGAGTTGAGGCAAGGGGTCCAGCACTTATAGTTCCTCATAGATCAGTCATGGGACGTAGACTGTTCCCAGAAAGAGACCCTGGCCTTGGGGCAACATGGTCATCTTCCCCTGGGGCAAGACTTGTAAAGCACTCCCTGTGGCTGGGAGAAATAAGGCATTCCCAAAGCATGGGGTGGGTGGCACATCAGAGCCCCTGCACCAAGCACATACCTCATGCCCGGTCTTGTCCCACACCCTTCACATTCTCTCATTTAATCCTCACAACAATCCTACGAGGTAGGCACTAGAATTATCCCCTTTTTGTGTGTGGAAACTGATGCACAGAGCGGTTTAGTAACTCGCCTGATGTCACACAGCCACAGAGTTGTGGAGCCAGGATTTAAACCCAGGCAGACTGATTCTGGTGGTGATCAGCCCACCACTCCGCCTATGCTAGTAAAAGAGAAGCCAACAAAAACTGGACAGGGATTTTTTTTCCCCCCAAACATGTAGGAGAATGTCTAGCACATAATAAGCACTCGAAATGTTTTTGAATGAATGAATTGGTTCACAAAGGGGAAAATCCAATGCTATGTGTTTCAAGAGCAACTGGGAGTCTGGTTCCACTTCTCTGCTCTCTGCCTTCTTCCATGTGTTGGCTTCATCCTCAGGATGGCTTCCATGGAGGTCACAAGATGGACCCAGGGTTACCTGTCTCCACCAGGAGGGGAGAGAACTTCACTTCTCTATCCATCAGAAGACTCAAGTGTCACACTTCGAACTTCACAATGTGAACTGATCACAGAGGTAAAAGGATTAAGATGATGCTGATTGTTAGGACAGTCAGGAACCTCCCTGACATCCCACCCAAACCCAGAAGGCAAATATGAGTGCTGGTAGGAAGTGGGGAGAAGAGAAATGGATACTGAGCAGGTAATCAATGAACAACCACTGACCCTTTATCCCATGGGCCCCCAAGCTCTTGAACCCTTTGCTCCCCTCCCCAGGGTCTAGCTTTACCTACTCCTCATCCCCTGCCTAAATGTCCCTTGTCCACCACCCTTCTGCAGCTGAGGGTTTGGGGACATGGGCTACCCTTAGATCCTGTGGGAGAAGCAGAACAAGAAGAAAGCAGTCCACTGAGAGTGGGGTCTAGGCTTGGGATGTTTAAGATAATTCTTTACACAATTAGATTAACCACTTTGCAGATCCTCAGATAAGCCCCTGTGGCCACACTATGTAAAATATGCCATTCCCTCTCCACTTTCCCTGCCTTAGTTTCTTCATAGCCCTTATCTCTGTCTAGACTTCTATTGTGTTTATATTTATTCATTAGTTTGGTGTCTTTTTTTCTCCACTGGAATAGATGCTCCACAAAAGTGACTACTTTATCTCATTCATCTCTGAGTTTTTGTCACCTAAAACAGGTCCTCAGTAGACATTTGGTGGGTGGATGGATGGATGGATGGATGGATAACCAGTGCCTTTGTGTTGCAATAGTAACAGGCTTGGTCTCCTCCTCCACCTTGAGTGGCATTACCAAAGACCTTTTTCCGTTATTCCCAACTTCAAAGTGACAGGCGCCGGGAAGGCAATTAAAGAAAGACAAAAGATGGAATGCCATCCTATCTCAAATAAATCACAGTCTGTCCTCACGCTCCAGAGAACATCTGATCCATAGGTACTGGTCATCTCTAGGTAGCCCGCGGTTTCAGAGGAAACAAATCAATGAAACCATTTTGTCTGTACAGATTTCACAAGCGTCAAATGTAAGATTTTGACAACAATCCTTTTCAATTCTTAATAACCATTAAATTGATAGAAATCACATATGCACTACAAAGCCTGCAAAGAGGGGCTTGCCTAGGCTAATGTTTAATTAGAGAGTGCTGACTGTCTCAGCCAACATGTGTTCACATGGTCCACAGGCTCGTCACCCACAGAATAAGGAGGATAATTCTATCATCTTCCACATGGTGATCTGGGAGCACCAGTTAGGGGCGCCTGGGTGGCTCAGTCAGTTAAGTGTCTGCCTTCAGCTCAGGTCGTGATCCCAGGGTCCTGGGATCGAGCCCCGCATCGGGCTCCCTGCTCAGCGGGGAGTCTGCTTCTCCCTCTCCTCCCTATTCCTGCTAGCTCTTGCTATCTCTGTCTCTCTCTCAAATAAATAAATAAAATCTTTTTTAAAAAGAAAGAAAGAAAGAAAAGAAAAAAAAAAGACCACAGAATTTGAAGCCAATCTCCCTGGGTTCCAACCCAGCTCTACCTTTTACTGTTGGGTAAGTTGATCGATCCTTCTGTGCCTCCACTTCCTTATTCATAAACTGAGGATACTGTTAGTAGCCACTGCACAGGACTGTTGCAAAGATGAATGAGTTATTACATGGGAAGCACTGAGAGGAGCACGTGGCTCAGAGTGAGCACCATGTAAGCGTTGGCTGTTAGAATGTCTGGTCTTCAGTGTTGAAGAAATCAGTCATCAGGCAAGTCTCCTTCACTTCCACAACCCACTCATACACATGTAATACACACACAACACATGTAACACATCCATAACACATACAACATACAACACAGAGAGAATAAAACATACAAGACACACAGCACACACACACACACACACACACACACACACACACACACACACAACACAGCCAAGCATTTTCATACTCTGTACTTGGTGGTTTCATCCATCTTTAGAGCCAGATCCCTGCTAAGACACTCATGGTACTCATCACTCTTCCCCATTGTATGTCAATAGGACATCATGCAATGTCATGATAAAGCAATTTACCAACTGCTCATTCAAATTGCTTCCAGAGCAAAATATTCATTACCAATTGTGTTTCAGAAGCTTCTCAGCAATAGTGTCTTCACCAGTATAGTGTGGTGCTCCGGTGCAGAGCTCTGGAGTGAGACATGAGTTCAAATCCTGACGTTACTACTTACCAACTGTGTGACTAGGGGTGAGCTGCTAAACCGCTCTGGCTGTAACATTATTCTCATTTTATGGACGAGGAAACAAACAATCAGAAAGAACAAACTGCTAAACACGACCGTCATGTGGTTATCCACAAAGATTTACCTTGCATGGACGTCATAAGAAATGGAAAGATAGGGTACGTATCTAGATGAGGGCTTGGCACATGCTAATAGATGCTAATATAACATGTTGGGTAAGTGGTGGTGGTGGTGATGAATTTCTTTGAGTATTTCTTCTAGTGGGAAAAAAAAAGTCGCTTTGACTAAATCGTTAACCGTTAATGAAACTGATGGTGACTTGAGTTCCACCAGCACATTTGGGTTCCAGATCCCATAAACTTGGACCCAGCATCGTGTTGTAACTATACCATTTCCCTTAGTGAAATTTGAGAGGTGATGTTTTGACATTGGTTCATTTCGTTTCATTTCCTCCTGATGGGTGGGCTTAACTTGTTTCTCAATTTAGGCAAAGCAAAAGGGAGAAGTATTTTAAATCGCTGTGATAGCCCAAGTCGGTCCTACCTTCTGGTCCCGGAGAAGGAGGCCCAAGCTCTCTTCTACTCTCCTACGGTATTTGGGCTTCTTCCAGTTCCTGCGATCGCCAAATATCATCCTTTCCTTTGTTTCGCCCCTCCTTCATCTTGCCCCCAGCATTTGGGTGCCTTAACAAGGAGTTTTGAAATAGTATCTTACCCATATTTCACGTTCTTGTGGTGCCTTCCCGTTCACTCGGTGCTTGCGTGTCCATTCCTCATTCCTGGCTGAGGGAAGACGACCGTCCTCCCTATGATGGCACAGCTGAGGCTCACAGAGGTGAACCAGCAAGCCCTGGACTTCGGCCGTCAAACAAACACCACGGTCTCCTGGTACAACAAGAAGGCAGCCTTTAACTGAGACACTTGAAATTGTGGTAAAATCTGGGGCGCCTGGGTGGCTCAGTCGGCTAAGCGTCTGCCTTCAGCTCAGGTCATGATCCCAGGGTCCTGGGATCGAGCCCCGCATCAGGCTCCCTGCTCCCTGCTCAGCGGGAAGCCTGCTTCTCCCTCTCCCACTCCCCCTGCTTGTGTTCCCTCTCTCGCTGTGTCTCTCTCTGTCAAATAAGTAAAATCTTAAAAATAAATAAATAAATAAAAATAAATCGTGGTAAAATCTACGTAACACAGAATGTACTATTTTAATCATTGTCAAGTATACAGGTGAGTGGTGTTAAGCACATTCACGTTGTTGGGCAGCCCTCGCCACCATCCATCTCTGGAACTACTTTCATCTTCCCAAACTGAAGCTCTGGACCCCTTAAACATCACTCCCTCCTTCCCTTCCCCAGCCCCTGGGAACCACCTTTCCACTTTCTGTCTCTACAGTGTGATTGCTCTGGCGACCCCACATAGGAGGACTCACACAGCGTTTGTCCTTTGGCGTGGCAGACGCTTTGGCAGAGAGATTGCTGGAGGACGTACCACGACTCTTTCCTCCACGGCATTTGTTTTGCTAATATGGCACATTAGCCAGAAAGAATGTCTTTTTTTTTTTTATCAAGTGTCAGACTATTAATTATCCAGATGTTCACAGGCCAGAACACTGAGCGTAGACAAGCCTCTCTTTCTGCCACCTAATGACACAAGTGTGACACACCAGTCACATCTGCAATGCCTCTGAGGGCAGGAAGGTGCCTATTCTTTACCCTAAAGTAACCTATCCTCACGGACACCAGCACCTCGCAGGCCCTGCCTTGCAAAACAGATGTTTTCTAACGTTTTGTTTTATGCTGAATGCTGTTCGTTCCTCTTGCCCTCCAAGTACTTGACTTGTGGACATCAGCAAAAAGAAAAAGAGAGAAGAGAGGAGAGGAAGGAAGGGCAGGGGAGGGGAGGGGAGGGGAGGGGAGGGGAGGGGAGAGGAGAGGAGAGGAGAGGAGAGGAGAGGAGAGGAGAGGAGAGGAAGAGAAGAAAAGAAAAGACGAGAAAAGAAAAAGAGCCTCTGGAGAAAGACGTAGGCATTTTCATGTTCCACCCCTGACAGTCCCAAAGACCCCCTCTCATCCACTGGCCTGTGTGTCGTTGTTGTTGTTTTGTTTTGTTTTGTTTTAAAGAACTCTGTGATCTGCTTCAATTCATGTTTTGCCAAGAAAGCTAACACAGCTGCAAATCCTTTCTGCCCAGAATGCCTTCCAGCCTTCCCAGAGGCCTCTCTGCTCATTCGGTGGCCACTTCCCTCCTTCCCGGGCTGGCCAGCCTCTCCCAGCCCACTGGCCCCCACCCCCACACCCTCGCCCCGCCATCCACCGGCTCCTTCGAGAAGGCACTACTGTCTGGGAGTGGCCGTGCCTTCTCTGTGGGTTTTCATTACTTACTGGGAGAAGCGCAGGCCCCCTCGGGCACCCCAGCCCCCCTCCGTAGGCTTCCCCCTCAGAAAACTGGCTCTGCTGCCCGCTGGTAAACGGGCTGGCTGTCACCATGACAACGGCCTGGCCCAGAGCCTGGATGACGCCAGGCCTGACTCCCCTCCCAGCCTCACCCAAATCTGTTTGTTCAAGTTCCAGCTGCATTTGTTGGGCTTCGTTTTGCTTGTCAGTTTGAGGCACCTCCGCTGCTGATTGGCTGCAGGGGGCTGGGCTCAGACTCCCCGGGATACCGACCGGGAAGTCAGCTCCCTGCCGGGGCAGGAATTTCCTGACGCCCTGGGGTATTTCCCCATCACAGGAAGGAGAGCTAGGAGAGCCTTTCAGGCAAGGCAGAGCCCATAGGAAGCCAAGGCATCAGATCATCCCTGAGTGCTTTGATCCCCCTGGCGACGTCAGACTTCAAGCAACGACGCTCTAACTAACCCGCCTTGGCTCTGTGACGCTACACTCATGACTAAGCCAGCCTGTTGTTTGATAAAACTAAAGAAGCAAAGCACCGTGTTGACAGAACAGTGCAGCTGTGCATTAACATCAAAATAAATAAAACCAGGGGTGCCTGGGTGGCTCAGTCCGTTCAGCGTCTGCCTTCGGCTCAGGTCATGATCCCAGGGTCCTGGGATCGAGCCCCCACATCGGGCTCCCTGCTCCGCGGGAAGCCTGCTTCTCCCTCTCCCTCTGCTTGCTGTCTCTCCTGCTCTCTCTCTCTCAAGTAAATAAAATCTTTAAGAACAGTAAAGAAATAAATAAATAAAACCAGGAAGAAGAAGAAACATGGATTTTTGAGGAACAGTTTAAGTGAATGTAGCAATAAACATCCAAGTGAATTTTCACCTCAACATTTAGGGTGGTTTTGCTTCTATTATTTGGATAACTGTAGAAGCAGGAATCTGGAACATCGTTTGTGACCAATTGAAAACACACTGTCTTGCCTTTTGTCATATCATCAGGTTTTTCTCTCCCAAATAACTCATTTTAGTAATTTGCTTGGCCTCTAGGGCTCCTGAGTTTACCTCAGATTCTCTGATTTGTGATATACACGGGCCTTCTTGTATGTCACCCTTTGAAACTGTGTCAGGAGCCTCAGCTCCTCATCTATAAAATGGGAGTAAATTATGCCAACCAGCCCGGCTGTAAAGTACTTAGCTTAGTCTTGGCACTTACTGAGCTACTATCATCATCAAGTGATGTCAGTTCCAATGATGACAGTCATTTGGACAGAATTTAGAATGATTTGATCACCTAAATCCCAGAGTTTAGAGCAAAGCCCAGAGATGCAAATTCTCAACCCGCAATCCTGCAGAAAGATCCCAGTGGTTCCTTATACCAATGCCTGTTTTCTGAGGATCCTGACACTCTTTATAAAAATTACATCATTGAGGGCGCCTGGGTGGCTCAGTTGGTTAAGTGACTGCCTTCGGCTCAGGTCATGATCCTGGAGTCCCGGGATCGAGTCCCGCATCGGGCTCCCTGCTCGGCAGGGAGTCTGCTTCTCCCTCTGACCCTCTTCCCTCTCGTGCCCTCTATCTCTCATCCTCTCTCTCTCAAATAAATAAATAAAATCTTTTTTTAAAATTACATCATTGATTCAACAAATATGTATTTGATAAATATCTACTAAGCCTCAATTGGCCAGGCACGGTGCTAGCCACTAGTGATAAAGTGATAGAAACAGACACAGTTCCAGCCCCTTGGTAGCTTCTGGACTAGTGAGGGCGACAGACACAAAAATAACCACACAAAATGTAAAATTACATCTGTGTCCTCTGAGTAAAGCCATCTTACACCCTCCAGACCAGCCTATCCCCCAGCTGAATAACACAGAGGACATCAGCCTTTGCCATATTGAGCAGAAGAATTTCCTCGCCAATGCCTGTCTTAATTCCTAACTCACCAAATCATGAGGTATAATAAACTGGTTGCTGTTTTAAGCACTGCTCTCCCAAAAAATAATTATATCTGTATTAACTGCCTAAAGCATTAAAAGAACATGAAATGGAGGAACTAAACTGCATTTTACCCACTTTTCCTAGTTATAATACAAGAGTTAATGTAAGAATTTAGAATGATTTGATCACCTAAATCCCAGAGTTTAGAGCAAAGCCCAGGGATGCAAATTCTCAATCCACAATCCTGAAGAAAGATCCCCGTGGTTCCTTATACCAAATCTTGTTTCGCTGAAAAGCGCCCTCTTCTGGCCAGGGGCCCTTTCTCCAGCCCGCTATTTGCTCCTTGGGGCTTTAAAGGGATTTATTTGTAGACTAGCATGTCCACTCCTTCATCAAAGGTATGCTGAGCACCCAGGCCCCCACAGGCTCCCCACCCTTATGAAACTGACAGTCATTGAACTTCCTGACATTTCTGAGAGTGTAGGGCAAACTTCAGAACTCCTACTTGATGGATAAGATTTTAACTGAGAAAAAAAAATCTTAACTGAGTCAGGGACGGCAGATGAAACTTTGTTATGTTATTGATATTTGGGACCAGATTTTAGGGCACAAGGAAACAAAAAACCTCCCCTGAGCATGAGATTGGTCCCAAATTCCTCATTCTTCGTAGCCACGCCCTGCCTCATCACCCTCTGCTTCGTAACCTTGAGTCCCCTCCTGCTTGGGAAATCTCCCCATGGTCCCCTGAACCAAGGGCCCCCACCTCTCCATCTCTGTGGCTTCAGGTGCCTTTTCCAGCCATTTCATCTCTGCAGTGATTTCTCCAAAGCCAGCCTCGATTCTTCCTCTTCCCAAAGACCCTCCAGCCTTCCCTGAACATCTTGTCCCTTAGTATCCCTGCTACTGTAATGTACATTTGGGAACAGATATCCTGTCACATCAAGGGCACAGTCTTTGGAGGGATCAGACCGACCTGGAGTTCAAATCCCAGATATGCCACCCACTAGGCTGTGATGTGAGGAAAGTCACGTCACCTTCTCAACTCTGATTTTCTTGGGGGCACAACATGGGCAGTAACACCTACCTAACAAGGTTGTTCTGAAACTTAAACAATATGTTTCAAGCACTTGGCACAGAGTAAACACTCAGTATTTTGTATAAGTCCTTTAACGTGTCCGATCTGGGCACCTGCGTTAAAAGCAATCTGGCCCTCGAGGCACATCCTACAGCCTTGGGTGTGTGGGTAGAGAGATAGAACCCGGGCACCATGCAGAGAACAGGGCTGATACAAACGCCTGGTGCCTAAGGCCCACAATATTTTCACAAATCCACAGAAATGGTTTAATTTCTTTTGAAAATCAGAAGAAAAAAATTAACTTTTACATCGAAAAATGACAATATAGAGGCGCCAATTAAGCATCTGCCTTCGGCTCAGGTCATGATCCCAGGGTCCTGGGATCGAGCCCTGCATCAGGCTCCCTGCTCGGCTGGAAGCCTGCTTCTCCCTCTCCCACTCCCCCTGCTTGTGTTCCCTCTCTCGCTATGTCTCTCTCTGTCAGATACATAAATAAAATCTTAAAAAAAATAAAAAAATAAAAATGACAATATATTATATATGTTAACATATTTATCTTTATACCAAAACAATCATAAAATACAATTTTCAATTAATTTTTATAGAAGAAGGAGCCCACAGAGGCCAAAGCGCCTAGGCTCCATGCAAGTCATTATGCATCCCTGATGAAGAAAGGCCTCTGCTATTTAAAAAAAGGGGGGGGAACGCAAACAGTGGTGAAAGAAGGAAATCATTCACTAGCTGAGTGTCAGGGTCCCTCCCAGCCCTAACATCCTTCAGTTCAGGGCATTCCTTTTGCCTCAGCATGGCAGGATCCTTTACAGAGTGCTTGCTTGCTTGCTTGCTTGCTTGCTTTTTTTAAGATTTATTTATTTATTTGAGAGAGAGAGAGAGCATGAGCGGGAGGGGCAGAGGGAGAGGGAGAGAGAATCTTCTGTGGACTCTGGACTGAGCTAGGAGCCCCACCTGGGGCTTGATCCCCTGACCCTGAGATCAGGACCTGAGCCGAAACCAAGAGTCGGTCACGCCACCCAGGTGCCCCCAGAGTGCATTCTTAAGAGTACATTTCCTAATACTTTCAGAATCTGTGTGCCATCTCCTTTTAGCAGAAGATTTTGTCCCCCAAGAATTTGGTGTGGCTTAACAAAATCCCTGTAGGCACTCTTTATCTCCTTGGTCAAGGATTGCCATGCCCTTCAGTGGCCGACAGAGGGCGAAGCGACCCAACCTTAAGGGTGAGCATCCCCGTGGCACCGGGAAGAGAAAGCCTCCCTGTTGAACCACAGGCGCCTGACCTGGGGGCTTGCTAGAGATGCAGAATCTTGGACCTAACCCTAGGGAGGATCCTAGACCCCTGCGATCACAATTCACATGTTAAGAAGATCCCCAGGTAATTGATATACAACATCAGGTTTAAGAGTCACTGATTTCAAGTTTATAGTCTGAGAAAGGGAAGCCCACTTGCTCAAGGGAAAGGAGGGGAGAGGAACTGGCTAAGGCATCCCTCTCAGCCCCCAAATCTCCTGTTCCTTCAGCCAATCAGCCAGCATCAATCAAGATGAGACTGAACCACAGGAGGGAATGTAAAAGCATTTTACAGGTCACAAAGCAACTGGTTTCTTCTTCCATTTCAGTAAATACTTATCGAGGGCCTACTATGTCCTGGGCATCAAGGATACAATCGTGAACAAAAAACAGATCCTGTTCCTACCCTGGTGGAGCTTTCAGCCTAGTGGGGACACCAAGGGAGAACCATCACACACGTAACTACAGACCTTGATGTTGCCATGTGGGTACAGAGGCCATGAGACAGTCACAGGAGGGAGGGGAGCTGGTTTATACCAGATGGTCAGGGAAGGCCTCTCTGAGGAAGTGAGCTTTAAGCTTGTGATCTCATGCTACCTAAAAGTTAGCCAGGCGGGACGCCTGGGTGGCTCAGTCGGTTAAGCGTCTGCCTTCAGCTCAGGTCATGATCCCAAGCTCCTGGGATCGGAGTCCCATATCGAGCTCCTTGTTTGGCAGGGAGACTGCTTCTCCCTCTCCCTCTGCCTGCCGTTCCCCCTGCTTGTGCTCGCTCTCTCTCCCTCTCTGACAAATTAATGAGTAAAATCTTTTAAAAAGGGGGGGGTGGTGCCTGGGTGGCTCAGTCGTTGAACGTCTGCCTTCGGCTCAGGTCATGTTCCCACGGTCCTGGGATCGAGCCCCACATCGGGCTCCCTCCTCCGCGGGGAGCCTGCTTCTCCCTCTCCCACTCCCCCTGCTTGTGTTCCTGCTCTTGCTATCTCTCTCTCTCTCTGTCAAATAAATACATAAAACCTTAAAAAAAAAAAATTAGCCAGGCAAAGAGTGGGAGTTCCTGGCAGGGGGAGAGAATGTACAAAGGTCACACAACACGGA